TGCTCAACTATTTCAGTTAAGAGTTGAAAATACTGACTATCATTTGTGATTGATACAGATTACTAAAGCCAGGATAGCATATGAAGTATTCTTTAAGCTGTTAGTGCAGTTAACCTCCATCAAAAGTATAAGAGAATTGCAAATGCTTAAAAAACCAATACGATGAAAAAATTTTCTGGTTATGTATTTGAATAAGGTTCATACGAGAATTATATTATCGAAGGTATTTCTAGTTTATTTATGATTTTCACAATTTATCAAATTATAACATTAAACAGTAGTTATCGGCTTCGAGCATTAAATTATTTCCATAAAACAATCAGTGTTTGTGTTTAAAACGAACAAATTTATTAACATTTATACTAGTTTAGTTTAAATTAATGGTTTTAATCCTAAATGTAATTTCCATTCAATTACAAATTAAATTGTCATTGGCGTATTCCACTTTTAAACGAAAATCTATTCTTTTGTTTGTTTAGTTTTGCACCCCTCACTACCTATTCCTATGTCTAACCTGTACAGTAAACTTTACCCCAGGTGAGTAGTAAACTCACCCACAATGTGAGTTTGAACTCAAATTGTAAGAGCAAATAGGCAACTTAATTTGCTCGTACGTTCTTGTACACACACGTATGCGGTGCAATAATAAACAACATTGTAGTAAACAGAAACTATTGTTCCAACTTTAATGGAACAAGAATGGGGTGGGTTTAAAAAAGTTTAAAACTTTTCCACGAAGCTAAGTAAGAAGCTATAATAATTCCTTTGGCAATTCTCTGTCTAACGAGAAACTTTTCAAAATTAGTTCCACACCTCGATATAAATTATTTTGAAATTTAGAAACATCCGTTTCTGAATACACCTCAATAAACACGTCAACCCCTTTAAACAATCTCATAACTATACCTATAGCCCACATCGTTTACGATACACAATATCGTATAATTCACCCTCACACAATCTGTACGTGACAGTTAACGCATCGAACAGAGCCCTCTGTCCGATCTTTACTTCGCCGATTTGACACAACGCGATATACGGCCGTTAGATGTCACCATTCCAACCCACCGTTTAATTTGGGGTTTTATCATCACCAATCTCCATGATGGGATGTAACTTGAGTGACGTAAACTTTGATTTTATAACTTTCAATCTAAATAAAAATAGAATGAGAAAGAAAAAGTCTTCGTAATAGGAACTTTCTATTTGGCCGAGTTCAAAACGGTCCAATTAACCAGCAATTTGCATTCGGCGTGTTTCGAAAAGCTTTTATAGATGTTTACATTACGTACGCACCAATTCATACTGGGTAGCCCTAAACCAATTAAGCTTTCGGAAGTAGTCTGAACATTTTAGTTTTATAAAAAAATATAATTAATTTACTTTTTTAAGATCAATTTTAGTCTCAATTATAAAAAGTAATAAAAAAATACATTCGAACATCGTTTCAAACTTAACCCCTACCGATATCATACAAGCCAGAACTTTATATTAAATTCGCGACGTGTTTTTCCTGAGGTTTTCACCCATTTTTCCCATTTCATTCGGGCAGATGCTCAGCGAATGGCGAAATTGTTCGCCATCCCCGAACTCTTCCCGTATAAAGAAGAGAGTTTAAAATTTCAAAATTCAATTTTTAAAGTTAACCAATTAATAATAGGAATTAAATATACAATCTAAACCCCCAAATTCATCAAATTTAGTTGATGAGAGCTCTGATACGTATCCTTCATTGATACACTTACATTAGTGGAATTGGCTATCATTAGTTAATAGCATTAAATTCATTTTATCAGTTAACAAATAGCTTTGGATTTCAAAAACACAAAATTGGTTTTGTTCGAGTTAATTTGGCGAACCCAATTAAGTTTGAGTGTTTTGTAAATTAATTTCTGATTAAAATTTGAATTTAAATATTTTTTATACTACAATATAGGAAAAGACTAGATTTCTGGTTATGTTTAGTCTTAAGATACCTGAAGATATCAGTTTCTTGTTGATGCAGCGCCTCGGTTTAATTTGACTTGGTATCGTAATGCGATAAATTGGTAAGATGCATAATTTTCTTAAGCCGAGGTTGCGTCCGGCCGAGGTGCTACATCAATACAAATATTAAACAGCGTGCTATCCCTGAAAACTAGTTTGTTTTTTTGTTAATGCAGCTCCTCGACTTAATTAGACTTGGAGTCGTAATATTATAAAGTGGTAAGATGCATAATTTACTTAAGCCGAGGTTGCCTCCGGTCAAAGCGCTATATTAATACAAATATTAAGCAACCTGTCATCCCTCAAAACACCTTTGTTTTTCTGTTGATGCAGCGCCTTGATTTAATTCGATTTGGTATCGTAATGCGATATATAAGTAAGATGCATAGTTTACTTAAGCCGAGGTTGCTTGCGGCCGAGGCGCTACATTAACACAAAAACTATACAACCACTGATGTCTTTGAAAACTAGTTTTTGTATTTTTCAAGCGCCTCGGCCTAAAGCGACCTCGGTTTTATTAAACTGAAATTCTTGAAACTTATTCAAGTTTTATATCGACACTGTATTGATGTTATGCATAAGGACTTTTGTGCCACCTAGTATTCGAAAAGCCTGATGATTTTGCACCGCATGGAAACCATGTCTGGGCCGATGAGCAAGACGATACAGCATTGTAAACTTCTCCGTCGATCATATAAAATATTAATTTCAAATTTACATAAATTTCTAGAGTCCAATACATTTTTAGTAGAATGGATTTTCGATAGAGTTTGGATAAATGGATTACTTTCAAAATATTACACTTGGATATTGACTCCAATATTGAACCACATATTGATATTCTTCATTGCAACCCGACCTTCGCTATTAAAATCCATAAATCCCTCTCAGAAATAAATAACAATTCCGTTGAAATACCACAAGGCAGTGTCCTTTTTATGTTTAATATTTTTACGAGTGACATAACACAACCAGAGATTCATATGCTGGCATACACTGATGATACAGCTTTAATTGCTCAAAGCTCAGAACTCGTACAAGTTGGCAAATCCATTTTAGCCGGAGATAGGAAAACTTGTGGCATCAACTACCTACTTAAGAAATTATTTATTAAATTTGCTTTAAACTGCTTCCATTTTGAAAATGATATCTCAATTAAATCAAATACCCAGGTATTTTCTTTGATACAAGCTTAACTTGGAATTATCGGATATTCCAAAAAGTGAGCTAAAGATACGCATAGTGGTACACTCAGAGTGATACATTTCTTATGATCAACTACACAATGAATTAAAAATAAACACTGTAATAAACTTTATAACCTCAATAACATCTCAGTTTTATGAACGCATACTATACACAGAAGCACTACAACCGTATGAACTTAGCATAAGGTACATCCATAGGCGACTTAAAAGTTGATTAAAAATTGAACTAATTTCATGAATTACGAACTTGATGAATGTCTGAATAGGTAAATTACTGAAAGAGGTAATGTATGGTTGGGAGAGAATACAATTTAGGTACATTAATAATCGATTATGTTAGGAAATTGTCGAAATCGCTTGAGTATGATGAATAAAAAATGTATAATAAAAGGTTTCCGTTTGGTATTAAAGACGAACCTTGTGGTTCGAAAGCGGCTCAGGTTGGCCATCTCAGACCATCGCCATCGCGCTGACGTCGGGTTTCAGGTACTAAAAGCAATTTTCCTTGCATTAACGTAATGTGCGGCAGTCTCGGGCGCCCGGTGAGGAAAAGGCGAGGTTAAAATACCGTGGACTATTAAATTATTTAGGGGTGGACGACCTTTCGAGGCTACCTAACAGTTCGATAACGTCTACCTCATCTTATTTATTTATTTATTTTTATTTTAAATTGCCTTCTTAAAAAATAGTGGATTATTTCTTTTTAATTTTAATTTAACGATGATGAAAACGGAATGTTTGTCCGAAGATTCCAATTACGTTTACATTTCGAGAATTTTTTGTCGTATAGCATAGAGTAGGTACAAATTATTTTTTGAGTTCACCCCGATATTGTGGAATGGCAGTAATTGTTCTGCATATTTGGTGTGTGTATTATTATTTTTTTTAATATACTGGCAGTCGATAGCGGCCGCGCTTTATTCGCGTATATGAACGATAAATTTTAACAATAGTCCAAGCGAAACAACTGGAAATTTTTAACAGATTTTTTTGTTTATTAACAATTAAAAAATCCATTTGTCATTATTCCTCGTTGTTTGCATTATTGAAATTTCAAAATATTGTTTTAATAATAGCAAAAAACTGCATTTTAAAACATCTTATAGTCCATACTACGAGTAATGCGAATAATATATAATAAATTTATGTATTTATTTATACTTACCAAAAATTAATGATATTAAATTTTTATTATAGGTGCTTAGGGTCGACCTAGTTTCTTTACACACGCCCTCGAAATATAATTGAGCATGGTGAAATCGTTTCGAGGCTCATATAATTCCAAATATATCGGTGTTTATTGCTCGCGTGAGAGAACGGTGGCAAGTTGTATATTTTGCGAAGGCTCTCTCTTTTTACGATATATTAATCCTCAAGAGTGTACCTAAGGCACAGTTTAGGAAGTTTAGGTGATGAGGTGCAATTCGCAACGTACTAACATGAAATTGTGGGAAAATAAAAAGCTTTTTAAATTACCCATAAAACTAACAAATGTACCTATGTATTATATAACAAAATAATATATCTTATTGTTCGTTTTTGTCATTCTTATCAGTAGGTTTATAAATTGAGAATTAAAGTATACTCGCAACAAGTTTCGTTTAAACAGTGCAATTGTACACCAAACCACTCCATCAACTTTCCACGTTTCCACCGTTTCGTAATAACTTTTCAACGAGAGTAAAGTTATTCGTTTTCAAACTATACACAGTCTTTGTTTATTCAACAGAAAAGCTCGGCACAATACTATTTTTCTACTCACAATAAGTGATACTCTCACCAAAAATAAAATAAAAGTAAACTTACCCTTCTCGCATCTTTCGCCGCCTTTCCCCAAGGGACACAAACAAACAGGTTCTGAACTTTCTTCGCTAATAACGCAACCCCCGTTAGGACCACAATCCAAAACGCACGGTCTCTCCGTTGATGGAATTTCCGTTGTTGAAGTGGAAACGGTTTTTTCAGAAGATTTCAAAGTATTATTTAAATTTCTTTCGTCGTCTTCGGTAAAATTTTCGTTAAGATGTACATCAAAAATAGCGTCTTTTTGATATAAAACGTCCTCTTCATTACCACCATCCACTTCGTTCATCGAATAAAATGAAGAAGCCGTTGAATTGAGTTCTAAAAAATAATAATAATTTCAAAACCTGTAATTAAATTTTAATTAATCCACCGCGTTCGTTCTTTTTTTTTTAACTGGTGCACCCAGACGACCCTCAACGCGTCGTGGGGAGATCAAAAGACATCTCAACGGGGGATTAATTTCGCCAGAATTATAAGTCCCTATTGTTTCCCTTCTTTTTTAACGCGCCCTCGACGATGTTTCTACATATGCATGTTTCAAGTACCTGTACAACTGTAGCCGTCCTCCTGCAATATAAAACCCATCCTACAGTCACACTCGTACATTCCATCGTGTAATTCATAGCAGAGTTGGTCGCAAGGGCTACCTCGACCACATCTACCTAGAAGAGAAAAAAATAATTAAAACTATTGTAGAGTTAAATAATTTTTAAATAATTGTGTTTATCTAGTTTTTCAGTTTTAACATCAATTTGTATATGTATAAAGTTTTTTAGCAAACTTCTGGTATGCTAAATATCGGAAGAATCAGCATTGTATTGTTAATCGCTTTCTCTCCACCTCTTTCTCTTCTTAAGATCTCTTTCCTCATCATCAGTTGTAGCTATTTGATATCTTAAGGAAAGATGCGAGATGGCGTTTTGGGATCATGAGGGGCCAATTAAGGTAAAAAAGCGAAGCCTTTTATGTTTTGAATAGGACTTGGCATAAATGAGACTTTGTACAAAAGCTGAAGGTCTCTTTGCGAATATCTGGATTTATGTACCATTAACTATTTTTGTAGTCAAGTTCTTACCTTACGCTTCGTTTTATACATATCTGGCAAATGCGCTAATAAAACATATAGCCGCACACATATAGACATGATCCCGGTACCGTATCGGACTTTAGCACCTGGCAGTATCTTTAGGGGAGTTACAATCCGTGCCAATCGGACACCTGGTTTTTATTGAGGTATACTTGTACAGCTCAAGTATCTTGGATTCACTAGGCCCGTACCCAGTATAGCGCTAGGAGCCTGAGGGGACCTAACCCAATCAAGTGGGTTTCATAGACTTTCATTAGATTTTCACATTTCGTTTAAGATACAGGGAAATGTGTAGTTAAGATATATGAAGTCTGTTAATACTTAAATATTCAAAAGAATTTTTAATAATTTATAATACCTGGTTTTCTGGAGGAGTCTTTCCAAAAATCCAGCAAAATGCAAATTTAATCTTAATAAGAAAGCGTAAGAAAACGAGAACGAGCAAACGAAAAGTCACTGGCAAGACAGACTTTTATATAAAAATCAGTATTCATACAGAACAAGAATATTCAACACTAACACTGCAGAGAAAGAGTACAGAAAATAGTTGATAGTATAAGGAAAAAGGCATGAAGAATGTAGAAGGTTGTGCTACAATATATCTAGACGAAATATATCAAAATCGTTATTGAATATTTATTGGAACCACTTTTGTGAAACTTATATTACTAGATACGAGAATAGACCTGGAATGTGTTTCTAAACCTGCTTCTGGAATTGTTTATTAACTCGCCGATCAACAAGTTGTCACTAAATTAAAAGAAATGAGATTAAATTTAGCTACAATAATCACAGCTAATTTTATTGCATGAATGGTGGAAGCTAATAAATTTAACTCTGCAAGTTAATGGTACTAAAATACACATCTCGGATAAAGGTAAGTATATGAGCTATGATGATAACTAAGCACGTAGTTGGGATGACACAGCAACTTTCTCAACATCCTTATTTTAAGATTAATGCCACATATGGGACTGTAACTTCAGAAATCTTGGTGTGGCGTAAACACCAACGTGATAACGACACGTTTAATGGCGGTTAATAGAAAATACACTATAGGTATTTACTTACACAATAAAGATCAGAACTGTAGTCAGGCGAAAATATCAACGTATCAGGACCCGGAGTGTTTAAGTTATATTTATGTAAAACAAACAAAGTGCAAATATAAAAATTCCGGTCTTGCAAAAACGATGTCGAAGATGAGCACAGTTTTGCAATATTTCTGCTATTTCTGTCAAAACATCTCATTGTTAATTAGTTCACGATCCAAGTCATTATGTAGCACAGATTTATTGTGTTCCATATCTTCATGTTGTGTTTTGTTTGATTACTATGTCAACTTTTGTATTGTACCACAGTTACAACCACCGTTTTTATTTGTTAACCACCTAACACAGGACTTCGTACCACTAATCATGAATTAGACATAGCCTGTAGTCACAACAAGAAAGAAAATTTAAATCCAAATTACTGCTTTGTAGACGTAAGGGACTCGGTTCAAAATAATTCTCAGATGACGACATGTAAAAGAATATCTCGAAAACTAATGCCAATAGGAAAAATCTGTCATTTTTGATTATGTTTTGTAAGGTTTTTCCTACATGAAAGCTTTGGCTACCATACGACTTTTTATACACTCTGTAGCTATGCAGATAATATATACAAAACGACCGTAAATTAGGTGAAACGTTGTATTACGTAAGTGTAAATTAGATAAAGCCCTACGTGTGTATAAATAAGACATGTGGAGGACCTAAACTAGCTGCAATAACGGTTTTTGCTAGGGTGGAAGTTAGCTGGTCGGCTGTTTTAGTGAGGATATTATTCTAGGCTGGATAATATTTAGTAAATTCGCGAGGTCGTTTTTGTAGTTTACAGGTTTACGGGAGTTTGATAATGTATGCGAAAGGAGATTAAAGAGACCTTCTGTGGCCTTTTAAGCACAAAATGTTTATACACGTTTAAAACAGATTTAATTCAAAATACGTTAGTAATTTATAAATCATTTTTTAGAAATATTTTTATATATAGTAAATACCACATTATTGAATAATATTGATTATTAGCATACTAAAATTAATTTCATTACAAAATCTATTCATCTATTATCCCATTTTAGATTAGAATCGAACAATCTACAATAATAGAGAATGTTCAATACATATTCGTTATTGTTTCACTAACGCAACCAGCCCTATTATTGAACGATAATTCAAAATTTATAATCTGAATTGTATTGAAAACAGAATATTCGATCTAATCGCTTTAAAATCGTTTTTGACTACAAAATCCAACAACGTATTGAATAGACACAAACACACCAAGCTTCCAAGATACTATCTTGGTTTTAGTTGACATCGGGAATCGATTATTCTAAAGCGTTGTAGAGAAGATAGACAACAATTTGGACTACCGCAATCGACACGTTCGTTTCGCCAAAGTTCAACAATTTGGTAGGATTCTCCGCTCAAATTGCAATACGTGTCCGAACGTGTTGAGGTTTCGGCCGAAACTTGGTAAACACTGCTAACGTTTATGGAGAGAGATAGAGATAGAAACCGAAACCACCATTGTTAACCACTTCTTATTCTGTTTAATCAATTTGCATAATGCATTCGACAGATATGGAAAAACGAAGGATTTATGAACTGTATTGAAATTTATTGCGGAGTTTCAATCTAAAAATAAGGTAAAGAAAGGAATTTGGGTCAAACCGATCATACTGATCGATTGAAATGAAAAGAACGAACGTGAAACCTTTATGCACAGCTAATCCATTCATCACGTTATCCTTTATTGAGAATCCCTTTCCCCTCCTTAGTAAAAAGACCGCGACTTCGATAGATAAGTTGGATCTTGGATCTCGAGGAGGTAGTAAAACGCGAAATTTACGGTTCTCCTTTCGGTTGAAACGTCTGGTAATAAAACAAGGCCCTTGCGAGTTAAAGGGAAAGATTACCCTTGAATATTTCATTGATGGAAACGATCGAAATCATGAAAAATTAAGAAAAGAAATCGGGATGCAAAAAATCGAAAAAATAAATTCAATCGCCCGAAAATGGCTATCGACTAGGCTTAGTAGTTGCCGTGGAAACCTGTTCAAACAAGTCCCTCTCACCTGTAAGCCGCCACCGTGCCGTGCAACACCCTCCGTCCAACCCCCTACACAGTCCAAGACATTGATTATCTACCCTCCGCCTCAGTTGCGGGGTTGAGGGTTTGAAGTCTGGAAACACATGGCTCTCATTCCAGTTTTCCCCCTGAACCGTCGTTTTTCCTCCCTTCTTTCCCTTTTCGACTCCATTTCCATAGTACCCCACGATATCTACCCCTCTTTGTCTCTTGAATTCTCTTTTTTCTTTCCCTGTTTCCGGTGATATCACGTAAAGGACTTTACCATTTCGACGTTCAAAATCGATCGTTCAAGTCCAAGTAATGAGTCACCCCTTGCCGTGCTTTCAATAAATAATTGTAGCTTTCGTGTTCTTCAGGCTTTCAAAATGAACGGATTAAAAGGGATTAAATGCGTTTGAGAAAAAAGCTAATCATAAAGCTCGTGTCTAGTAGAAGTAATAAATTAAGTATTCCGCACGAACGTCGTCCGATTTGCGAGGAGATAAGAAGGGAAGGAACCCAAGTAGTAATCAAAAGAAAAACCTTTTCTCGGCGAACAATGATTGCGATTCGCGTGCGGTCGGAAGATTTTATTTTTAGATTAAGACACAACTTTCTTAAAGGAAAATAGAGCTTCTATGATGTTATTAATTAAAAAGGGCAAACAGTTCCTTTTAAGAGGTCCTGAACTGTATCTTTAAGTTATGACATCATCAATAAGACACATATTACAAATATGTTTTATATTTCGTTAACATTTATCAACATGAGTATACTATAACAAACACATTGAACGGAAACTGTGTTGCAAAATTGCAAAATGCAAGGGGGGGGGAAATTGATTGGCCCCATTGTTGAACACGACGAGTTTAGTGACGCGTATAAAATTGGCCTGTAAAGAGCGTCTCGTAGTCTCTTTTACTGCTGGGAAACGTCTGCAGCTGACGCCTTGGGTGTAGATACGAAGAGAGAGGGAGATGTGCCTTTGGCAGTATCGAAGTTGTACCGAAACGTTTTCTTGCTCCATCTAAAACGATCGGTCAAATAAAAAAAAGATTGTTTTTCTTTTTGTGATCTATCCCGCAAAAGATCACTCTTGGTTCTTGTTCAAGTTGAATCGACTAAAATCCGGCTGGATTTTTTAACGTTTTTTTTATCTTGGCTTCGTTCATTCCGTTTCCATCCGGTTTGTAACTCACTGTAATTAATCACCACTCGAATGAGGATGGATGCGGATGGAATTGTACAACGACCAAAATAACAAAGCAGCAGAGCAGTAGAGGAAGTGATTTCCTGGTGTTTAGAGTGATATATTTCAATGAAAAGTTTTTTCCTGTCAACAATTAATAGTTTGTAGAACAGCAATTTTTTGAGTAAATTGTGACCTATTATGGTTGAAACAGTTCACAAATTAACAAATAAAACGAGTTTACGCGAGAGTGAACGATAAACGTTACG